GTGGGTATTTTCTTCTGATGCACCAGCGACCACATCCGCAGCCCACTCTTTCAGAATGCCCTTCGTGGCCTCAAGGACTGGCCTTTCGTTCCTCGGACGACTGTACTTGCCTTCTGGAGAGGGGGCCACTCATCATCTATTCATTGGCCAAGTATACGGTGGAAGCTGGTGGGTACTTTCTTCTGATGTGCTAGCGACCACATCCGCAGCCCACCCTTTCTGAATGCCCTTCGGGGTTTCAGGGACTGGCCTTTTGTCCTCGGACGACTGTGCTTGCCTTCTGAAAAGGGGGCCATACCGACAACAGCATGCACCCAATGGCCTAAGGAGCGACCCGTGAGGGTCCGTGAGGGTGTTCTGGCCAGTCGTTGGTGACGACCGCGCTTGCCTCTCCTGAAGTTAGGTCGCGCGCGAGCGACCCGTGAGGGTGTTCTGGCCACCTGTCGGTGATAGGTGCGCTTGCCTCTCGTGCGTCCAGTCCCCAGTGAAAGCGACCCGTGAGGGTGTTCTGGCCTCCTGTCGGTGACAGGTGCGCTTGCCTTCCATTGGGGACGGGGCCTTAGACACCGATTACCTTCTGAAGTTGTTCGAGGGCATCCTGCCGAGTGTTTTTTTTGGTGGTTGCTACCTGGTCTGGTACATAAGTGGCTGGAATGTGGTGACTACCTTCAATAGGAAAGACAACACTGTTTGCCATGCAATTTTATGTCACAGAGGACGTGTCCGAGGTGAAGTATCCCAGTCTATGTGTGGCTCCGGGGCTTTTCGCCGTGTTCGGGCTCCCGGGGACCTCCCCGGACCCGAGGACCGCCCGAGAACGGGCCGGGATGAACATGTTGTCCTGGGTACAGCCCGCGGGGTCCAGGACCCGCTTCCCTCAGGACCTGCACCGTGGCCTCAGCCTGCAGCGCGTCGGACTCTCCACGACGACGTCGAAGTCCTTCCCAGCCAAGCTCACGAACGGGTGGGCCTCGTCAGCCGCCTCTGCAATCGCGCCGCCCAGTGTCACGTCGGGGTGCACCTCGTCCAGAGCGGGGTAGTCGATGCCCTCCTGCACCGCCTTCTCGATCCTCTCCTTGCCGCCATACTCGAATATGCCCTGCGGCTTTACATCCTGTGGGGTGTTGTGAATGGTGGGGTTGCCTCATGCCCTCGAGCTCCTGCTGCTTGCCCTCGGGCTGCTCTGCGTCGAGAGGAACCGTAGGAGGAGCAGGTAGACAGGCACATCTCAGGAGCGGCCCGACAACCGGAGCCCGTCCCGAGCGACATGAATTTCACTTCAGCGCCTTGACCCTACCAGCGAACGCAGATGTAGCACCATCGCTTCCCATCCCTTCTCCCCCTCCTCCTCCTTCTCCTCCTCCTCCTCCTCCTCCTCCTCCTCCTCCTCCTCCTCCTCCTCGGACAGGGCCTAGCATCGAACTCGGTCTCCTCGAAGTCGTCCCTGCCGGGGGTGTCTACCGAGGCGCCCGACGGCCGTCTCCGCCGCCGTCGGTCTCGCAGGAAGGCCCAGTGGCACGCGCAGCGCCTCGTCCAGCGCCGCGGGCCCCCTTGCCGAGGGCCACGTGCGCCCCGACACTGCGCGCCGCCCGCGGAGCACCCGAGGCGCGCTCGCTCCGCGTCAGCTGCAGGAGCGCGGGCTCGATGGCGCGGAGGCGCACGGCCAGCCCCCAGCCAGCGGGCCCGTCGGCTGCCGCAAGGCCTGCCAGCTCCTCGGCGCCCGTGCGGATGGCCGCAGCCAGGGCTGCCGTGACCACCTGCCTCGAGCCTCCCACCTCAGCGGCGCCAGCGGCCGCACCGTGCGCGAGGGCAGCCAGCGCCGCTGCCAGCGTGCCATCCTCGAACTGCAGCGTCGCCCTCTCGCGGGGCCGCGCCGCCGTCGCCAGACCATGCCACCCAAGCGGGTGAGGAAGAACATGCCCTTTCCTCATTCAACGGCTTGAGCCAAAAGGGCTACGGAGGAGGAGGAGGAGGAGCATCAGGAGGAGCAGGCAGAGGAGGAGGAGGAGGAGGAGGAGGAGGAGGAGGAGGAGGAGGAGGAGGAGGAGGAGGAGGAGGAGGAGGAGGAGGATCGTCCCTGCCAAATGTTCCTCGTCGGGCCGTCCCTCCCACAGGCTCATCCCGCGCCTGGCGGACGCCCTGTTCGCGCGCGTTGCGGCGCTTAGGCAGAACCACCAGAGCAGGTCACCGCCCGAACGCGAGCACGCGAGGGCCGAGGGGGCGTCTCTTGCCAGGGGAGTCGCCGGGAGCGCGAGCCAAGCCTCAGTGGCGGAGCGCGGCCAGAGAGGGAGGACCAGGAGCAGAAGGGTCAGCATAACCAGCAGCGATAGCGCGGGGAGCTGAAACAATGTAGGCAGACGCAGACATCTATGTGCAGGCGTGTACGTATGCATTCATGCATGTATGCATGCATGTCGGTATGTATGTTTACGTGTATGTGTGTAGACATTTGTGCTTATGATACAGATCTGTTTGCAGGCATGCTCGTATGATCATGCTAAGTATAAATGCAGCAGTTCTGAGCCAGAGCCGGAAATGGTGTAGGAGCAAGAGGAGGGCGGAACACGAAACGGCCCACGTCGTGCTGCACATCGTCATGCTGCTGGAGTCCGCCGTGCTGCTCATCGTCGTGCTGCTGGTGATCCAGATCAGGGGGATGCCAGCCCATCCTTATACGACGGCCAGCAGCACGACACCGAGTAGCACGACGGGCCCCAGCAGTTCGACGCTGAGCCGCACGCCAGTCTCTTGACGTTGACCGCCACGACCATCCTGGGGCGGAAAAACGGGCAGATATTCCTTCTCATGCTTGTTCCGACTTCCATCCCTCCGCCAGGCCCAACGGGTGCGCTAGCTCCGACGCTTGCGCCGAATCCGCCGGTGCCGACGCCAGCTTCGACGTCGGCATGCCAGCCGCATGACACCAGGTCCAAATCCGACTCCAGCTCCAATTCCCCTTTCGTTCGACTCCATCCCCGATTCCAGCGTTGGCTAAGACCTGAACTCGTCCTCCATTTCCGTTGCCTGCTCCGACGCTGCACGAGGAGCGCCGCATCTATGTGCAGCACTTCGGGCGCTGGCTGCATGACGCCAGCACCAATTCTGCCTCGAGCTCCGACTTCTCCTTCTAATGCCCGCTGTAGCGCTGATGATATGAGCCCAGCAGAGTATTCACCGGGAGGGGGGAGACAATTTGTTAACCTTCCTCGGTTGTGCGGCCACGATGAGTTCTACGTGCACGGCTTCAATCACGGCCACCAGTGCGACCACGGCCGCGAGCACGAGCACGATCGACGTAATGACCACGACCACGACGACGAGTTCGACCACAATCACGACGATGCTTTTTGAGAGCACCCTTCGCGGCAGCACCAGTGCATCCCGCAGCGGTGGGGCGCCCATGCCGTCGTCGGCGACGGCCTCAACCACCTGCGTAGACGACGCACCTCTGGCCTCAGGCCAGTCTGGCCATGATGCTGAAGTGCAGGGCGCACCATTTCTCCAGCATACCTTGGGTCTGCCAGGGCCCCTCCGCCGTGCGATAGCCGATGGGCTGGCACATGGAATAGCGCGGATCGGCCAGTACAGAGATTCCAGTGCGAGCACCACGACGGGTTGTGACACAGGTGCTTCGATGGTTGGGATGCAGGAGTGCAGAGATTGCTGTGCTAGTGATGGTTATGCATATTTTGGCGTCGGATGCCTATGTGACGACGGCGGGGGGACTCATCGTGAGGGCGGAAGCGAAGGTGCCACGTCGAGTGCGGCGCCTGATGCAGGAAAGTGTTCAGAATTCAACAGCACGGGTGGCGGGCTTTACTCAGGCCCGCGCACTCTGACTGGATCCATCGGCACCTACTTGCTAGGTGCTGGAAGCACTGGAGTCGTCGACCGTGCACATGCCTCACCGAGACCTGCCTCACTAACGCTGGTTTGTTGCAGGTGCTGCTTGGGTGGGGGGGGCGATGACGTATACGTTCAACGAGTGGCCGGTCGAGATCCTCGTTTTCTGAGCGTGTTATGATGGCTTCCTGAGCGCCCCCGCATGTTTTCATTCATTATTTCTTTCCTCTCTCGTTCCTCCTCCTTTCTTCCTTTCTTTCTCCTCCCGCCCCTTTGCGGGACTTGAAAGGTATGATGTTCTGTCGTACGCGTGCATGAGCGGGCCACTCTTGCCAGGCGGGCCGCCTCAGCGAGCCTCTAGCGCCCACCGGTCGGGGCTGCCTGTGCCTTTGTTCATTTTACTTTATTTGTTTCTTCTGCCCCGCCCTCTCGGCCTCCTTCCCCTTTCCTAGTTCGGCTTATCACTTATGCACGTGTGGTACAATTGTGCGAGCGCTGCCTGCGAAGCCCGGTATGTACACGCACGCGCGGGTTCTTCTGCCCTTCGTTCCTCGCTCTTCTCCTCTCCTCCTGCCCTTCAGTCTAATGCAGTGCTGGATTTCTGCGTTGGCCGCTCGGGCCATTCGGGGCTTCTGCGCAACACCGCTCATGTCGGGGTGATGCGGTTTGAAAGGTATTTCGTATCTTTATGCCTGTAGTTTCTCCTTCCCCCTCTTCTCTTTCCTCCTTCTCCTCGTCCTCCTCCTCCTCCTCCTCCTCCTCCTCCTCCTCCCCCTCCTTTCTCTTCTTGTCCTCGAAACTTGAGGCTGCCCCTGGATTTCCAGGTGCCCCTTAATCCAGTCTGATGCTTTCGACAGCTCGGCGGCCGTTATGCTACTCTTCGTCTCACGCTGCGGCGCAGCTTTGCTGTAGTCATGTGCAGCGCTCGAGAAAGAGGTCATCGTTGTGGCTCAGGTTTGCTCAAATATACAGATGAACTATATGGTTTCTGGGATTAGCACCGCAGAACTCCCACGCATCCCAGTGAAACCACACGGTTCGGTGGCTCCATGTGTCTGCGGATGGCTCACAGGCTTTGGGCTTCCTCTACGGGGGGAAGCGCTGTTTCCATTCAAAGAGAGGGAGAAAGAGATAGAGAGAGAGAATAAGAGAGAGCGACAAAGAGAGAGAGAGAGAGAGGGAGGGAAGGAGATCGAGAGAGAGAGAGAGAGATAGGTGGGTATAGAGAAGGTGATAGGAGAGAGTGAGAGAGAGAACAACCACATTATGCATGTATGTACGTATGTATGTATGTATGCATGCATGCATGCATGCATGCATATATGTATGTATGCATGCATGCATGCATGCATGCATGTATGTATGTATGTATGAATGTATGTATATACATATATCATATATATGTATACAGAAAGAGAGAGAGAGAGAGAGAGAGAGAGAGAGAGAGAGGCAGAGAGAGAGAGGGAGGGATACACAGCACATACATACATACATTTGTACTTATGTTTTCGCCGTCCAATCGTGATCCTTGCACCTGCATGTTTTTTTTGACCCTGCGATTCGTATGTTGATGTGGCCGCAATGTTGCTACGACCCATCGTCGAACATGAAGTTGGGGCGGCCAACCTGGCGCAGCCCCGACTGGCAATGGACCCGACGCATTTCGCCCAAACCGAAGGCCAGTTTCGGCACTCGCACTCGCCAAGCACGGATGGAAGGCAGCTGCGGTCGTCAGTTGTCTCGCGCTGGAGGTGGCGCTCGCAAAAGGCGGATGTAGCGGAGGTTCAGACGAGAGTAGTACCATTCTCACTCACGAATACGGCCGGCGCTGGGGCGGTCACACAAGTCTTGGACATGAATGTGGCCAGCGCTTGGGCGGAGCGCCATTCTCCGATGAGGGCTGTGAGAACTGTGCGGGTGGAGGGGCATCGCAGTGGTCAATCAGGGATGTGGCTGGCGCTGCGGAAAGAATACCACACTCCATGAAGGATTTGGCCAACGCATCGACGGCAGCATGACTCTCAGACATGGATGTGGCCAGCGCTCGGGCGAGAGCGCCAATTCCTACTAGGAACGGGGCTTGTGCGTGACTGGCAGCATCATCTGCAATGAGAGGTGTGGCCAGCTCTGAGGCGACAGCACGGCTTGTATTGGAGAGTGTGGCCAGTGCTGGGGTGGCTGCTCCAATCCTGGATCAGGATGCGGCTGCGGATGGGCGAGAGCACCATTGCCGAAGCATTGCAAACCGCGCGAGCGAAGCGGCACCACCATGCTGAATGAGGGATGTGGCCAGCACCGCGGCGAGAGCGCCTGTCCCACTGAAATCCGTCCTCTTTCTTCTCCGTTCCCCCCCTTCTTCCTTCTCCTTCCTCCGTTTCCTCCGCCCTCTCCTCCTCCTGCCCTTCCTCATCTTCTCCTTTTCTGCCGGCCGAGCCCAGCCGGCGCGCGGGCGGGCTGAGCGAAGGGCGACCGCGACCACGACAACGACGACGGCGACGACAACGACGACAGCCGCCCGAAAAATTGGATTCCCGGACCTGCCGACGATGCGGTTTCACTACCACATGGAAGGCAGTGTAGCCTTGGCGACGGGAGAACTCCCAGAGTCGCGGGCGATCATACACGCGCGAGGTCCGTGGAGGAAGCAAGGCTGGAACTGTAAGGAGGGAAAGATAATCTGGGCAAGGAGGAGGAGGAGGAGGAGGAGCAGCAGGAGGAGGAGGAGGAGGAGGAGGAGGTGGAGGAGGGCGTGAAATCATCACTGCAAGGGATTGGGTTCAGATCGGAAGCGTTGAGAAAAGTGAGCATCAGGTTTTGGTTCCTGGGGTCACTCGTCCATTGAAGCTTACGAACTTAAGATTCAACCGATTTTGGGCCCTCCTGGGGCAACTTCCCCACGTGGGCTGAATCGCAGAAACCTGAACGTCAGATTTTGATTCCCGGGGCCGTTCCCTGGCTCGGGACCATCATTGCAAAGGGCCGGTTTCATTTCGGAACAACAGAGAAAAGTTTGGCAGATTTTGATTCTCGGGGCCGCTCGCTAACCGAAACTGAAACAACACAGTAACATTGACGTCTGTATTCGGGGCTTGAGGCCGCCTACCTACATGGAGCGGAATCACAGGAATCTCAACGTCAGATTTTGGTCCCCGGGGCCGTTCTCTTAGCCAAGGCCGGCAATGGTAGGAGGAGACAGAGAGATTCGAGTTCGAGGCCGGAGGGCTGAGGGGCGAACCCACGCTCGTCAGATCGCCCTGCGAGGGAGCGCAGTCCGCGCGATCCAAGGTCACGGCCGCCACAGGCTGATGCATCACAATCATGTATGCGCCGACGTCAGTGC